GACCAAAAAGGGACGGTAATTTAGCAAAAGGCAAAAAGCATTTCTTACTGCTTTTATTTACTTTGTATGTAAAAACCTGCCAGTCTATACGGTGCAGCCGCAACCCAGCCAAGGGCCCTCTCGGGCCACTTTGGACGGTGCTGCCCTGCAGGAGCCCAGCGGCTGCAGGTGCCTCACCCCAGGACCGGCCGAGCACAGAGGCAGCGGGAGAACTTAGGCATGTAACAAGTTGCATTGGTTATGGTTGTCTTCCCACTATTAGGACAACTTAGGATTCAAGCTATGAGGTTTATATAGGAAATAAATAGGGTAAATCTTTTTACATTTTGCATGGTTTAAAGTGTCGGATTAATCCAAATTAACCTGTTCCTAAGCCAAAGGCAGAAATCTGGCCATTCATCTCAACTGTAACCAAAGCTGCGCCGGTTATCGATCTCCCACGTCTGAAAAGCAGACTTCCATGCTTGGCTGTGTTTCTTAACATCCTCAAGAATTTTGGTGAGTTTTCCAGTGCTGTGCCCTTTGCTGAGCTGTTTCCCATGCACTAGCAGCACTTCTGCACATGCTCACTGCTCTTGCAATGCTGAGGAGAAAAATCCCGGTGTGGAATCCACCAGAACAACCACCACCAGGGACATTGCTGCTACGCTTCCCAGGAATGCAGAAAAAGAACATTCATAGAGAATATGCTCTAAAAATTGAACAGGTTTCATTTTGTGGGGGTGTTTGTTGGGTGGCATGGATTGGCATTATCATGCTTGATCTGGTATATGAGGAAAATTAGAGAAACAGCAATTTATCAGCAAAGTAACCTCTTGGTTTTCTGTTAAGTCTTGTACGAAAAAGTAGCTCAAGCTAGAATTTATCCTTTCCAGCACTGTGTAGCTGGCAGGAGCCTAAGCCACTGCTTGCTGACTCAGAGGAAAGCCATCTCTGGAGTTACACTGCCCAAAGCTCCACAGTTGTTTACCTTCCATTATTTTGGAAAGGGATTTTTTAACATTCTTTTTCCCTGCTAAGAGAAACAACAATAGTGAAGCCACATATTTGATACAAAAGTCAAATGCTCAGCTAACATAACATACTAACTTCTTTAAAACTAATGAAGTTGTACCAATTTATAGCAGCACAAGAACTGGCTCAAAGTATTTTACGTGTTTTTGCCTGCCCAGAAACCACCGAGCTATCGTGCCATCGTAGTACCACGGGCCCTTCATAGCTCCGATTCTTTATCTATTTCATCTAGGTAGTATTCATCATCAGTGGTGGTATCGCTGTCTGAGTCCGAATAAGCTGCTGGGTCTTCCTGATAGATATCAGTCGGCTCTCGGGGGGATGAAGCAGCCGATGACATTTTGCTCCCAGCAGAACTTGAGCTCAAAAGCTCAGCCCTGTTTATAGAAGGGGTCTCTCCATCTCTGAGAGCACCAGGGTTATTAAGAAGACAAGGCCTCCATAATCGCCCTTCTGTGAGTGA